TCGTTTATCGCACAATAGTTAAAAATTATTTACAAACTCATCAAACAAATAATACAATAAATTAATACATACAATAAAATATCTTGCTACCATGCTCCTAAAAATGCTCAAATCTATAATGTTGAAATATCTAAAAAATCAAATTTTTATATTATAACGATTTCTGTCACCTCTCATTATCTAAACGAATTCCTATACTACATACCAATTAAGCGTTTAACACGGTTCGGCAAAATTAACACGTAATTTATAGACGAACTTATACGAGTCCCGCCAACCTAACCGTATGACGAGATATAATATTCAGCATAGTTATCCCTTGTTGCGAAACTCTCCATTAATTTTTTACTCATTCACCTGTTGGACTCAAATAGGCCAGTCTCGATATTCACAAATATTAACATTTCATATTATACTGAGACATTTGAAAAAACCGTCTGTTGTGATGATCATTTAACTGTTGAGGCCGACGTGACCACACATTGCGTTTTGTCCATTTTCCCGAATTTATCACAAATATTTTGACGATTAATTTACTAAACTAGTATAGTACGACTGTGTCACCTCGACACAACATATCGACAAGTATTAACGTTTTTGAAAATATTTTTCAATTTTTGTCTTAATCAATATTTTCGTGTTCTTTTCTCTATGCATCTACTATATAATATTAAATACATAAATAAATAATTAAACAATATTGAAATTATTAATTATGAGTACATGATCAAATTTAATTGCGTAATTACAAAGCATACCTAATGTACCTATCGTTTTTTATATGTTTACTCATTATTCATTCTACTGTTAATCGATTCGAATCTTCTGCAGGTCATCACTAAGTACTGCAAGAGTCCAAAAATCGGTGACTATACGATCACTTTTATTACCCCTAAGCGATTATACTCTTAATATTATAATATATATTTTTAAAAGATGTATACGATAATTATATTCGTCCTTGATGGTTCGGTGGCTTTTTATTTTTATCGTTTATACTGCTATATGTATGTACTAAACTAACCAATTTTATTATTTGAGTGACGAAGCCAAGATTATGAAATGGGGAGTGGGAGAGTTAAGTATAAATTCCACAAATCGCTTACATTTTTCGTACATAAATAATTCAATTATTAGTGGGGGGG